GGGCTGGGTATTTTCGCCAAAGTCCTGAATCGATTCGATTTTGATTCATACAGTTCTAAATCGATTAATTTCGATTCGATCTGTTTTTACAATAATGAAAGTGGTTCAACTGTTTCAAAATACTCATGTATTTATTTTTTCCTGTCATATTAAACACAAAATGCAAAACTGTCTCAAAAGTACAAACTTGTTTGTGAAAAGCGAAAAAGTGAAGCCTTGCATGAGCAAGCAGACATGACACAGCAGGGACACAGCAGACATGCATGAGATGCATCATCTCCACTGAACAAACCATATTTGCAGCTTTGTAACAACTACAGGGTGTTTGCTGTTCAGCTCCCATTTGTTAATGTCTTCAGTCAACCTATAGGCTGTATTTGCAGCTGTCTGGCTTGAAGTTATCTTTGTGGTCTGTAGCACGAGATGCGAAGCGCCACTCATTATCAATGTAGTAGGAAGTCACCTTAACGTCACATATCCAGCACATTATCTTCAGCTGTTTTAAATCCAAATTGGTTCCAGACATCAGACTTCAGTTGGGACAGCTTGCTGAGCGGTGTGTTACTTGGGTCGGCATTTGCACACGCCTGCTCATTTGAATGTGAACGTCACGATCGTCACTATAAAACTAATCGATCTCATTCCCTACACATCGATTTTGCAAAAATGTAAAGGAATTGATCCAAAATCGATTAAATCTATTTTTTTACCCAGCCCTACTAAGGAGTTGGTTCAGACCAGCTGGTTCTGAGGAGTCGTTTCTGCCCTTGAATATTTTCTTTCTACCTCTTTAATCCAAAACCAGTCACTGGAATTGGGCCCAGTTCTGTTCTGCTGCTCCAGGACTCCTCTTCAGAACCTTCAGTCCATCTGAGGTCCGTTTACAGCTGAGTGACGGTCCCTTTAAAGGAACCGGTCCCTGTGGGTCTCTTTGTTCTGTGGTTCTTTTGCTTTTTTCCAAGCTGCCGTTGACCCGGTCCAGTTTCCCATCGTGTTTCATTCTGACCTTAGAACCAGCTGGGCTTGATGGAGTCTGAGCTCGTGTGTTCGACCCGATCCGACCATAACTCCCAGTGTTATGGCTGCTTGGAGGATAAACGGACCCTCTGATCATGTTGGAGCTTTAGCCCAGTTGATGCCAGAACCCACTGGATCTGTTCCCGCAGCAAACCGGGTCAGAAGGTGTCTGCAGCATTTAGAAGTGTTGAAGTGAACCGGGTCAGGCGGCCGGGTCAGATTCTCTGAAACTGCTTTGGTCAGAGCGAGTGTATGAGAAAGTGAGTCCGTGGATGTTCTGGTTCGGGTACTGGATCTGACCGGTCTCAGCCCAAACACTAGCTGATCTGTGGTTGGATAAAGTAGGCAGGCTATCATGGATCTGTTTACTGTGATTCTAATGAACACAGGCTGATGTAAGGTCTGTTTATTTGTTTTTTACATTTTATTTGCTAGTTAATTATTTATTTGTATTATTCTGTTCATTAATTTATTCTTTATTTTGTATTTTTTAATGGAAAAGTTACTTTCTGTATTGAAAACTAGATATATTTTTATATTTATTAAAAAAATTTTACCAATATTTGTTATTCTCTTTACTTAAAACTCTTATCTAATCATCAAGAATTTGCTTTATATATATATATATATATATATATATATATATTTTTTTTTTTACTTTATATTAAACATTTATATTTAAAACATTTCTGGTGCTTATAATAAGATCATTATAGACAGAAATAATAAGTTCAGTTAAATCATTAAATAAACTGCTTTTTCAGAATAATTGCAGAATAAATCTCAGTATTTATTATCCTGTGGAAGGTTTGTCCATCCTGAGCTTCCATAGTAACAGTCTGTTAATGTGTGAGGTGACTCAGTCTCCTTGTCATTACCCGATCCGTACCGGAAGCACGATCCGTACCATCAGCTCATTTGCGCGTTCGCGAACAGAATAACTTCTGGTTGCAGTATTTCCTTTTTCTTACTTTTTTATTCTTTTGTATTTTTT